TCAATATTATGTAACCCAGAGTTGCTGCCCAGCGTCAGCCACTCCCCTGAATAATATTCAGCTCGGGGGCAGCGGGGGGAGCTCGTCCTGACAGCGCCGTTGTTGTCCCGGCCATCGTCCCGCGTGAAGCAATTTGGTGCGCGATGAAAAGATTATTAATAAGCAAGTTATTGAGATGCTGGGACAATTTGTCCAGCTAGTCATATCACCGCTCCAAGGAGAAAGAAATAAGCCCACCATTACTTGTTGATGGTTGCGTGAGTTGCCAATAACCTCCCCTCGACGTCCAGAATGTGGCCCACTAATAATTATACAAATTGCTCACAAAATCGAATTTATGCTATTGACGAAGCACGAAACAGCTACGAGGATTTCAGGGATTTGCTTTGGTGCGAGTCCAATTTTTAAGTGTTGGACACTAGAAAATGAACACTCAAGTAGTGAACAATTGAAATTTGTTCATTTTTAATATTCAAAAGTTAATCAATTTTGAAAACACATCACTGTGAATTCGCACATTCTGAGGTGCAAACGCGACAATATGCCCGGATTTGCATCACATTTGACCGACCTCTTTCCTTAGACTCATCACCCTCAACCGTCAGAAGACAGCATTATAGGCTCAAAAATTCATACAATCTTTATAATGCCATACACTTACACTCACAGTCATGATTTGTTTCATATCCGCAACCACTGATCACTACGGTTCAATTTATTGCTTCAGAAAACGATTGCATCAAAGTCTAAACTATTTTTGCTCAACGTTCCACACACTGCATGGCCGTCAACTACATTCTGTATCATGGCTACGCAATTCAGACTCATAATGAATCATTTTATGTATTGAAGCATCAATTGTAGTAATATCGCGGGAAAATTGGTCCCTCAAACTTGATATTGTTACATAAGTGAGCGAGATGGTTATTAATCCAGCACTGTTACTCATCAACTCAAACAATATTATTATCCATGTCATTCCATTAAGCACGAGATATAATTATCAATCGTAATTTAGGTATGTTTATTTATAAGCTAGCTAAACATCTTATAAAATAACACTGACCTAGTGTGTTATTTTATCAAGAAACTCAAGTCGTCATACCCCTTTACATAACTGTAACACAATGTTTGGTTCAGTCTCCAAACTCAGCTAAGTAGGATAGCTACTAGAATGTTTCCTTTAAAATATATAGCTCGTTTGTAAGACGCTATCGCAGTCTCAGTAACTCAAACGCGTAAGCCGAAAAAATCAGACGTAGTTGGCCGTTATGAGGGCGATCGTGCGGTTGAGAATACTTCAGTGTTGGCTACAACCGGAAATCCAGACCGAGAATTTAACGGTGGTGTTCAGTAGTTCCGAATCGGTGGCGAGTGGGTCACTGTGTATGGAAATTATATTATTAAACTGATACGTAAGTCGTAATTGTTGCATATTTACCGACCGTTTTTATATCGCTTTCACTAAGTAAAATCTAGGATACGGTGAGCTGTTTCGAGGCAAAATGTCGAGCATAGCTTATAGATACGGCAAATGTACAATTATAGCAATGACCACAAAGATTAGACATAAATTTACTAGTTTAGAACTTCTCAATTCCTGATAGATTGATAATAAATTGGCTGAAGTTCAGACGTGAGTAGTAAGCCAGGGAGATCAAAATTATCAAGCATTTATCCGTCCGGAAGCATTGGCAGGATGCAATGTTTGCTCAGGATGACGAGGCACGAGCGAAGACCGGCAGCTGTGGTGAGAGACTGCAGCTGTTGAGCTGTGGTGGTGCAGTGGTGAGAGACTCGGTCTCTCGCACCCAGCTCCCGGGTTCGAGTCCCACTGAGGACAAGTTTTTCAGAGAAGCTCAGCCATTCATCTAACTCTGGTTGATAAATGAGTACCTGGCTTGCCCAGGATGTTGTGTTAGGGTACGCACACGACACAGTGAAAGCAGGTTTGCCCGCGCGGGCAACCTGCTCCAACCTGCCACAAGAATGAACATAGGATAATAATGTAAGTGTTCACAGTGAAAACCTGTACGAATAGGCTTCTGTGTTCTATGGTTTCAGGCGCCAGCCTGAGCAGGTAACGCACGCTGGCAACCTGCTTTCACTGTGTGCGTACCGTAATGCGATACAATGGTTCTGGCGGGTCAGCGAGCCAGTGACGGTCGTACCGTTCTAGAACTACCAGTGGCACCAAGTGCCCGGAAAAACTGACCTATCACCCCCCTCCCCTCCCTAGTTACCACTACTAGGATGGGCAATTACAACAACAACAACCGGCAGCTGGCGTCTCAGCAACGGGCGTATTTCAGCACACGAATAAGGGAGACTACGGCAACCGCACGGCTGGCGGTCGGAGGCTTGCTTTATTAAGCGAGAAGAAATGTTGTCGCATGGATGTGTTCCAACGCTGTTTTTTTTAGTTTACGATATTCATAAGGTTCTACAAACCAGTATAACTGAGGAACCCTCTGAGGCTTTGAATTCGACATAACATAACATAGTGATGTCGGCGCTAAACTGTAGGCCTGATGTGGCCTGTCGCCGACTTATTATACTTTTCGTAACTTGTTCATAGATCTAAAAACAGGTCCTTCGAACGGATCTTTTCAGGACTGACGATAGTTTGAAATAGCTATTCGACTTCCACCGGGTTCGATATGGTGCTCGGCATTTCAGGTCCGAACATATATTTTTCCATAGCTAGTCTGTTCTTGAACGCGTTCATACTTGGAGCGCCAACGATGTAATCGCATGGCTCTAGACTCTAGAGTCTAGACGCTACGCAGCCTGAACATGCCCTAATTAAAAACTGCTTGACAAGATAACGTAGGAGCTACACTGTTAGAAAAAACAGTCCCACTGGCGTTCTAGTGGCCGGTCGCCGTTGTAAAATAAACAGTATCGTCGTTTATATCAGATGTTTTACGGTTTTCTAGTGTTAAATTAAAATAAAAGCGGTGACACGGCGTTTCTTTTCACGTGCCGACCGACCACTGAAACGCCGGTAATACCGTTAACGGTAATTTTTCTCACAGTGTAGCGTCGACATCGGCATTGCTTAATTCCGCTGGTCCAAACATCCTTCTATCAAGCATCGCACGGGGAGCTAGAGGAATTACACATTATTCCGTGTATTACGGGATACATATTTCGTGATATATACTTTTTTGTTTCTATGAGTACCGGTTCAGCTACACGTTCTATTTATGATAACCTAGTGTTTAGATTAGTGACTAGTTAATGGTTGACTACATTTGTTTTATGACGGAAAGATGGACTCTCATTCAAGTGATATTATTTGTTAACTCAGGGATTTAACTTACGTATGACTAAGTAATGCGTAGACCTATTTTTATATCGTGCCTGTTCACGTGCTTACATACACGTGAATATGATCTCGTATACACGTGTGGACTTTGTGTGCTATGCATGATCTTGAGACGTAGCCATGATACATTTTAATGTTGGTCCCATACATTAAATGAATGAGGGGGCTGGAGCTGTAGCTTCAGTTCTTCAGGTAGCTCTTGAGGAGGGGTGAGGGCAAGAAGAGTATAGGAAAGCTAGTTCTTCATAATCAACTTTTAATCGTCCTTACACATAAATATAATTCATATGGCTAGCAAAGATTCCAATAGTGTACAATATGAAGTAGTAATGAATGAAAAAAACACTATAAAAGAGATAAGATGCAAACAAATAATTACGCAGTCCCCTCCGCGCGCCAGACAGTACCAAACGGGGCCCACCAGAATTGCAGTTATTCTGAAGAAACAAATGGCAATAACTTCGAAATAAATAAACAAAACTTCGAGTCATAGATTCGAATAGCCTATTATTGTATTTGTTGACAACGGGACTGTGATACTAGGCAGGCGATGCAGACACTTGGCAGGCGACGCAGACACTTGGCAGGCGATGGTGGCACTCGGCAGGCGACGCAGACACTTCAGATCAGGTCTGCTGAAGGAGAGCTGACGCTGGTGTTCAGAGTCCAGGGTTTGACGCCCAGAATGTGGTCACTCCACCTGCAGCTGTAATGTGGAATAAATGCATCAAGATAATATAAAGAATAATTATTGAAACTAAACTAAATTACATGTTTAACTAGCCTGACATTCATAGCTATTTTTGTGAGGAGCCCAATTTGCATGCTGTCTTTGCAAACTCCAGATCCGATGTACAAGTTTTGTGGGATGACCTAACTACTATGTTAAGCATTACCTAATCATTCATCTCATAAAACATCATTCAAATATATTGATAAAGTGCCTCAGGCATTCAAAGGGTTTACCAATTTTTGACTGGTCCAGCCTGGTTTGAAAAGTGCCAACTGTTTTTATTGATGAGTTTTCGGAAGTTCCAGTCCATTTCAGGATGGTTGTAGAGAGGTGAAGATCATTGTTCAAAGCAATGTTTGTTTTATTCCTACATCCTGACACTGACCTCCTCAGGATCATTAATTGACTAAGATCCGTGCTTTCTGGCGACCAATTTCTTGTCTGTGATAGGATGGTTTAACTTGTAAGTCAGTCAGTGATTGATTGAAGAAGTTATGAACACAAAGTTATTTATAATAGCAAGTCCCCTATATGTTTGACATTGCTGCAAACAGAATCCCCCAAAAAAATGATTTTAGATAGCCTCCAAGTTTCCTTGTAAGCACACTGTAGTTACCCTAAAAGAATGCTAAAGTTATATACATCACAAGCACCTCAAGTTACTTTTGCTGGACCCCAGTTAGCTGATTGTTAGGATTTTTTGTTACCCGTTAGGTCGTCTGTTGGGCTGTAGGATTCAAAGACATTGATGCTGCCACCAGGGGGCCACTGCAGCTCCCTCAGCAGTGGACGACTTGCCGCTGCTGCTCTGTAGGTGCAGAGGCAGGTTAGTTTCATGAAGAAAAATGCCTGCAGCTTAATCATTTCAGGACAGGTTAATGCATACAAGTTAGATTTAGTGGGCTTAAAAGTCAGATCTTGAGTTAGAAGATATTTTTATTCCAATTCCATAAAATTACAACTAATAACTGATTGAAGACAAATTGAAATGGATAATTAATCAACGATAGATTTTTGCAGTCATGTTCGAAAAAAATAGGTAAATTCTGAAACTTAGGGCAATTTACGATAAGTAAATGCAGGTGTACAAATAAATAATGTGTACCTCTTCAGTAATCAGTTCCTCCTTGACATATACTTCCTCTATAAGGCACTCCTCCTTCTTCTTGACTGCAACATTGGCGACTGAAGATGGAGCCCCAAATTCCACTACTGCACATGAGAGTATTCACTAATTGATTATTGAATTAGATCAAATATTCACTGATTGTTTAATGAATTAGACCAAATAATCACTGATTGTTTATTGAATTAGACCAAACATTCACTGATTAGTTATTGAATTAAGACAGAATTTACACACAGTGTGGAGCAGATTTCCAGCTCTATTCAGGGATTCAACTTGAATCAGAAAAGCTAGAAAATAAAATTTATAGAAGCAAAGCTTTGGAAGATCAGAATAAATTACTAACTATTTGAGGAAATGTAGGTATAGAAATTATTAGCTATCATATTTAACATGATGCATGTATGTACTCAAATTTAATTTGGTTCTTCTCCTACCTCAATAAAGTGGCAACAACTGGAATTTTCATTGCCTTAATGATGATATATTATACAGAAACATATTATTACACATAAAATTTTATGCTCTTGAAATTTAATATATGTTTTACATTTAATGAAAACTTCCTCTATATCACACTCCTCATTAATATGTACCTCTTCAGTAATTGGTTCCTCCTTAACATTCACTTCCTCTATATCACACTCCTCGATCTTCTTGACTGCAACATTGGCAACTGAAGACGGAGCCCCGAATTCCAATGCTGCACAAGAGAGAATCCAATAGTTGGTTTTTTAATTAGATCAAATATTCACTGATTGTTAATTGAATTAGACCAAACATTCACTGATAAGTTATTGAATTAGACAGAATTTACACACAGTGTAGAGCAGATTTCCAGCTCTATTTAGGGATTCAACTTGAATCAGAAAAGCTAGAAAAATAACATTTATAGAAGCAAAGCTCTGGAAGATCACAATAAATTACTAACTATTTGAGGAAATGTACAATTATTAGTAATCATATTTTATATGATGCATGTATATACACAAATTTAATTTGGTTCTTTCCCTACCTCAATAGAGTGGCAACAACTGGAAACTTTCAATGACTTAATGATGATATATTATGCAGAAACATATTATTACACATAAACTTCTTATGCTCTTGAAATTTAATATATGTTTCACATTTAACAAACTTCTGGGCTTGAACATCTTTTGTTAATAAATTAGTGAACATTTTTCTTCAAATTTAATCTTGATTAACCAAATAAAAGGTCAACCACATCAAAGATTTTATGATCGCTCAGTTCAAGCTGGGAGTGCAGGCTAGACTCACCTTCAGACTTCACTTCACCAGCAGACACTTGAGGGAGGCTCTGCTCAGCACACCAGACACTCCCGTCTGCATCTTCAGGGCATCGTTGAAGAACAATGCTGCATTCTTTAATATTAAACTTAATCATGTTCTGTCTCAAGATAGTAGTGTGCTTTTCACTACACTTTGGACAATATCATTCTCCATTTGAAATTTTGTCAAGTTTCAAACACTCCAAGTGGAACCAGTCTCCTCCTTCACAATTTTTTGCAGTTATTCTTTCAATGTATGATTCACACATCTGAGCATTAGCACATCCAATCCATTTGTAAAATTTAATTTGACTTGTTTCATCGTGCGTCATTTCACAAATGCAGTAAATCTCAACTTTCTTGGCAACTTTTGCATTGTCATTTCCTACACTCACATGGAACGTAGGATCAGGTCGGCTTTCAACTGGTTGCTCAAATTTATCCAAGCTTCTCGTATCAGCTAGTTTGTTTACTGATCCTGATAGATTTGATTTGATTACTGCAGGTTGTGCAATGTCTGCAGGTTGTGCAATGTCTGCAGGTTGTGCAATGTCTGCAGGTTGTGCAATGTCTGCAGGTTGTGCAATGTCTACAGGTTGTGCAATGTCTGCTGGTTGTGCAATGTCTGCAGGTTGATATTCTTTCAATGTATGATTCACACATCTGAGCATTAGCACATCCAATCCATTTGTAAAATTTAATTTGATTTGTTTCATCATGCCTCATTTCACAAATGCAGTAAATCTCAACTTTCTTGGCAACTTTTGTATTGTCATTTTCTACATTCACATGGAACGTAGGATCAGGTCGGCTTTCAACTGGTTGCTCAAATGTATCCAAGCTTCTCGTATCAGCAAGTTTGTTTACTGATCCTGATAGATTTGATTTGATTACTGAAGGCTGTGCAATGACTAAAGGTTGTTCAATGTATGCAGGTTGTGCAATGCCTGCCGGTTGTGCAATTTTTACAGGTTGTGCAATTTCTGCAGGTTGTGCAATTTTAGTAGGTTGTGCAATGTCTACAGGTTGTGCAATGTCTGCTGGTTGTGCAATGTCTGCAGATTGTGCAATGTCTGCAGGTTGTGCAATGTCTGACGGTTGTGCAATGTCTGCCGGTTGTGCAATGTCTGCAGGTAGTGCAATTTCTGCATTCACTTCCGAGCTTTTATCTGACTCTGAAAGAGCTGGTACTGAATTGATTGGAGCAGAATTTTTTATATTCTCCAGTACATCTGAAGGGCAACAGTTCATTTTTCTTCTCTTGCAGTCAGCCTGTTTTTGATCAGGTACATTTTGTCGTTTCTGGGAGAATTTTTTAGCAACATTAATGCCAAGTTTGCTCATATAATTCTTTATTGCTTGACTTTTTGCAGTAGATTTCTTGTTTTTGATAAGCGATTCTTTTGTGTTTGGCGAGAAATATTGTTTTTGCCAGTTCTGCATCATGCTGTACAATGTTTGTGTTGCATCTGAGAAACACTTCATTCTGAATGTTATCAAAGACAGCATCTTCATCAAGTTTTGTTTCATTCATGTAATACTTGGATTCAAATCTATTTCTCACAGCAATCTCCACGTGTGACATCACTCTTTCTGTGGCCGCTAGAGTCGGCTTCATGAGCTGGATGACTTCAAGGCACCGTATGATGTTCACTGGATACGTTGGTGTGCTGTTGTTGGTGCTGATGTAATGAGCAAATGCATGGGTATAGGACTGTGCTGTTGCGCTTCCAATCCTGATCAGTTTGTTGTCAGGTGCAGCCTCCCATTCACTTTGGAAATCATCCATGAATTTGACATAGTCTTCTTTCAAACAAGTGCACTCATGAACTCCCATGCACTCACTGCCACATGACTCAAATTGCACATTCAACAAATCAAACAGTTTTATTAATGCTGTCAAGTTTTCTTCAATAATATCAAACTCCTGATGAAGTGAAAATGAAAAGCAACTGATGATGGGTCCATGAATGATGCAATGGTTTGTTTTATATGATTTGCAGTTGTCAGCACATCTCCTTGCCTCATCTTTGACAAATCTAAAAGAGCTTCCTTAGGCAGGCCATTCTCAGCAACATATGTGGCAACAATAGCTTGGCGTGAGACATCCTTGGCAGCAGTGCCTTGGTCACAAAAGATACTGAATTTCCTTTTACATTTCGTTGCTGAGAAAGTCGTGGAGAAGTAGTTTCTCATTGTAGTAGCACAAGCTGCATAATTTGCCAACATCACGTCTTTAAAGCCCGAGTATGTCTGATATCGATTGCCCAAAGGATGGCTTAAATGAGACGGGCAGATGATAGCAAGGAGAGTACACAAAGCTGTATATAAACTGTATGGCAAGCAATGAGAAGCAATAAATATCCCAGCAATCATTGTGTTCTTTGTTGCATTTTGCCGCTCTTTTGCAGTAGGCCGACCAAATTCACTCTGAAGTGTATCTCCACAATTTCTGAAAGCAATTGCTTCTTTGTGCTGGCGACTCTGCAGGTGCACTTTCTTTGCTTGCTTTTCGCTACTGGTGTCTTTGAATGTGATTCCAACTGTCCATGATTCTCCAGGTCTAACACGACCTTTGCTAGGAATTTGGCACTTGCAGCAAACCCTACAGAAATGAACATCTTCATCTAGTTCACTGTCATACCAAGAGAAAAAATTGGAACAATCAGTCTTTTTACTAGAGGTTGGTGGAGAGTCTGGTTTGTCTTCTTTGGTTGTTACAAAACTATTTTTGAACATATTCTTGCAGCAGCAATCATCATTTGCATGCTTACATCTCTTTATTGCAATTTTGACATTTTCTTCATAGGAATTTTTGGCAAGTAAAAGTTCTGAGCAGCATGAACACTGAGATTCACACATAAGAATTTGCTCTGAAGATTTGCCAGGCTTGGTAGAAATTTGTGAATCAGAAGATGTAACCTGTGGTGAAAGTGGCTGAGTAGCAGAGGGGGCAGCATCATTAGTGTTTGATGAAGAGGTACATGGAGCTTCATCAGGATATAATTGCGATTTTGTGAGCTTTTTGATTCTGTGAGCTTTGCCAGAAAAAAGTGAAGTTCTTGAGGAAATCTTTTTAAAATATTTATTGATATAAGTACAATAGGCATCATAGTGACGGCATCTCAAATGCCTAACTAAATTACATTTGCTCGTATGGAAGTATTTAACATCTTTTCCAGTGTAACAGAACTTGCAAGTAGCAACAAATGAATTATTATTAGCTGGCCGCACATTTTTGAATGCAAATTCAAGGATAGGACGATGACTGGAACCGGGAGCCATGATGGCATATGATTTTCATTGGTTCACCTGAAAAGATAAACATAAAATCAGATAAATCAGCAGATGAGTTAAATAAATAATTATCATCAAACATCAACATTCCTACATAATATTTATAAAGGAGGTATTACAGTAGTAGCTATACCTATACTTCTTCGTTCCAATACCCTTTAATTTGAAAACTTTCAATTTGAACACATTCCACAGAAGAAATACAGTCCTTAACATGGCCTCTATATTAGAATAGTAATGTCTATTTAGATTGCACCAGGATTAAAAAATCCAACAAGAAAGCATTACACTAGAATCACATTATTATTTAAAGCTTCCATAACAAGGTAATAATTATTTTAGAATGAGAAAGCATGTAGTAAATAGCAAGGTAATGTTGGGAAGAAATAACTTGGTATTTCTTGGCATTGGTACTGAAATTACAAATCAGTGCATTTGTATCAGTTTTATGAATTTGATAATGCAATAGAGCTCTATTAATAGTGTTACTGGATTAAACCAAAGGAATCTAACATAAAATCATTACAGAGATGTCATTTAATCATCATCTAAGGCATGCTTGGCAGTCATGCTTTAACACGTTGACTACGATTGCTTCATCTTGTACTATTATTTCATTTTTAGTACCGTTCTTAAACAGTTTTGCCAGACGGTCTTTTTTTTCGGACAAATTCCGTGATTTAGCTTTTCTCAATTGCGTTGGCCGGCTAAAATTTATGATAGGGGTACTTGCTAATAAAATTTTAAATACTTAAAACCTATGATTAGAATGGCAATATATGTCAAGCAATTAGTTGACAATATGGTATGTAGATCACAATATACCAAGTATTGGTTGTTCTTCCAATACATTTTCTAAAACATAGGGACATGGATCATAATGCATAATAAAATATCCATTCAATATTTATTAAGTAATATTTGCATCATAGTAAAATTACAATTGGACTTGCATGGATATCATGAAAGAAATTGAATGGCAAAGAAATTTGTAAATCTGTCGCTTTCAAGTTTTTCTTCAATGCCACTTTAGACTCCAGAAAAAGGGCAATTAAAATGATTTGCATTTGACTTCACCCAGATGGTGGAAATGTGAATGCATTGTCAAGATCTTCTCACAGCACAAAATTGGATGAAGGTGCATTTCAAAAGTTATTTATTGAATTCCAAAAAAAATTTAGACACTTTGTTGAGAGTAGCCTTTCTATTTCTGGTGCAAATTTTTCATTTATAATAATGCTTGATACCATTTTCATTATTTAAAAATTAGGTAATTTACATCAAAGTCTTTACATTCAGACCATTATTTTTCTATTTTTATCTAAATCAAGCAGAGTTTATTCATTAGAAAAAATGAGCTTTTATGCTAACTATGTGCAAAAACCACACTACAAACCTAAAAATGGCAAAGAAGGCATCATATCAGTAAGGAAGGCTTTTAATGCTTGTTTCTATGCTTAATGGACAGCTTGATTTGGTCAATTCATCTTTTTGGAAACAAACAAAAGAATCTGGAATTCAGAATATATACACTAAATAGTGGGGAACATGGACCAAAGTCAAGGAACGATACAAGCTTATTGAACGAAACTCAGAAGCTAGTAAGGCTTCCAACCCAGACTCCTTCCAGGCATCTTCCACCTTTAGAGCCACTTCATACGCATGTATGGTTTTTATTGAGAAGAGTAGCAGTATTACTGGGTATAAGATGTCTTGTGCTGCAGCTGAGATTGGATGAACTTGTTGTCTACTGGGTTGACCTATTGGCAACAACAATACTCTGAATACTGGATAATAAAATACTGGTTTATATCAATAATGACAATTGAACTAAAGCAGTGGTGTGCAAGGTGCATACTGGTATTTAGAAAAAAAAATCCATGACTTATCCATGACCTGGTTCTAGTAATCTTTGAATGTTAACTGAAAAGAGAGTAGTTGGCGCAGCAGAACCAAATGTTGTCAAAACATGTACAAGATGTGTATCAAACCTACGCATCTACGAATCCATTTTTCTCCGCTGGTTCAAATAGAACTGCTAGGCATTAATGGGTTAACACACGCAGCACAGAAAAACACTTCCTTTCTTCTTCATTTATTTGCAAATTTCATGACTTTCCAGGCCCTGAAAATGAAAAATCAAATTCCATGACTTTCCGGGTTTTCCATGACTGGTACACACCCTGAGTGTGGAATTCTAGAGAGGTATTAAATTAACCAGGACACATTGCAAATGTGTACTGGTTGCAAATGTGTACAAAGCGCCCACCACAACAGCGCCGTTCAGTCACAGGACGGAGCGCATACAGGCCGGAGCACAACTGGCCGGAGCGCAACAGGCCCTACTGCAACAGCTACTCCTAACGTAACCTAACCTAACCTGCGCCGCCTGTTGCAGTAGGGCCTGTTGCGCTCCGGCGCTTTGAAGCAGTGGCTGTGTTTTGCAAAGTGGATTTACTGTTAGCCAGAGTTACCCACAGCTCATTGATCTGAGGCTATATATAGATATTGCCCACTGTGCAAAGAATGGATGAATATTGCAAGATCTTTGGCGATGCTTTAGTAGCAAAATTTACACCTTCAGATGATCTTGCCAACAAATTTAGATTGAAATTCTTGCATTTAATATATTTGTCAGTCTTTGGCCAACTGTTTAGAAAAAAGTAAGGTTTCCGGTATGTTGGATGGATCAGGATGCAGTGAAGCTTGTCTGGAAATCAGTTGCAATGAGTTCCCGCCAAAACAACAAATGTAAACAACAAGTTTACGATTGCATAGTTGCGGTCACATTAGAGTGGTCAGACTGCATTATCACATGTTCAGTTGACACTTGCTGTACAATCAATAGCCCCACTCCAGGGCAGAGAGTCCCACTCCAGGGCAGAGTCCCACTCCAGGTCCAGACTCCAGGGCAGAAAGCCCCACTCCAGGGCAGATAGTCCCACACCAGGCCCTGGAACCTGGGGACAGAGGCTGGGGACACTAACCACTCACCTGGGGACACTAACCACTACCTGGGGGCCTGGGGAGAGTAGGGACACTAACCACTCAGTCACTCACCTGGGGACACTAACCACTACCTGGGGACACTAACCACTACCTGGGGCTGGGGACACTAACCACTCACCTGGGGACACTAGCCACTCACCTGGGGACACTAACCACTACCTGGGGACACTAACCACTACCTGGGGAGTGGGGACACTAACCACTCACCTGGCCCTGGGCCCCTGGGGACACTAACCACTCATCTGGTCCTGGTGGCACTAATCACTAACCACACTTGGAGGCATCTTAAAATCTTTGTAATGAATTTTGCATTTAGATGCCGGGAACATTTATACCTAGGTTTTCAGGAGTTAAACTTCACTTTAGCTGGTTGTACTATTTGCCAGTGCCCGGCTCAATGCCTCGGAGCGGGACAGCACGGCATTTTCAAAGTTCAAGAAAGATAGTTCCAGAAAGATGACGTAGCAGCCGGCTACTGTCACGGGAGCTCAGCACAAAGAACCTCTTGCCTCAACGGTTAGAACAGAACACCGAGTCAACTCAATTTTGTTACCCATGGCTGCATTCCCGTGGCGACTGTTCTTCTTCTTCTTTTTGGGGTGTCTACACTGGGTAGACTTGAAGCCACAGGT